GGAGACAGAGTAAGACGGCATCTCTAAAAAATAATAAGAAATAAATAAGTACGTATTTGGTGGTGGTGGTTACAAGACTGTGTGCAGAATTTTAGTGCATATAAATGCCACCTCAATCAAGCCTGATTTTTAGAAAACAATTCTTGGGAAAAACAAAACATACAGCAGGCACGTAGACACATTTGTCAAAATGCATCGAACTCAGTAACAGCAGACCAAAGACTGCTGGTTCTCACTTATAAGTGGGATCTAAACTTCAGGTACTCATGGACATAAAGGCAGCAATAATGGACACTGGGGATTACCAGGGAGGGGTGAGAAAAAGGGGCATGAGGGTTGAAAAACTAACTGTTGAGTACTGTGCTCACCATCTCGGTGACAGCATCGTTCATACCGCAAACCTCAGCATCATGCAATATACTCAGGTAGGAAACTGGCACAGGTATCCCTGAATCTAAAATAAAAGTTGATAAAGAGGGTCCCGGGCGCAGCGGCTCTCACCTGTAATCCCAGCACTTTGGGAGGCCAAGGCGGGCAGATTGCTTTGAGGCCAGGAGTTTGAGATCAGCCTGGGCAACACGGTGAAACCCTGCCTCTACTAAAAATACAAAAATTAGCTGGTTGTGGTGGCGGGCGCCTGTAATCCCAGCTACTTGGGAGGCTGAGGCATGAGAATCGCTTGAACTCGGGAGTTGGAGGTTGCAGTGAGCCGAGATCACACCTCTGCACTCCAGCTTGGGCAACAGAGAGAGATTCTGTCTTGAAAAATAAAAATAATAATAATAAAAAATAAAAATTGATAAAGAGGGCTGGGCGTGGTGGCTCATGCCTGTAATTCCAGCACTTTGGGAGGCCGAGGCAGGCGGATCACTTGAGGCCAGGAACTTGAGATCAACCTGGGCAACATGATGAAACCCCATCTCTACGAAAAATACAAAAATTAGTCAGGTGTGGTGGTGTGTGCCTGTGGTTCCAGCACTTTGGGAGGCCGAAGTGGGTGGATTACTTGAGATGGAGAGTTCAAGACCAGCCTGGCCAACATGGCGAAAACCTGTCTCTACTAAAAATACAAAAATTAGCTGGGTGTAGTGGCGCATGCCTGTGGTCCCAGAGACTCAGGAGGATGAGGCAGGAGAATCGCTTGAACCCGGGAGGCGAAGGTTGCAGTGAACCGAGATTGTGTCACTTCACGCCAGCCTGGGCAACAGAGTGAGACCCGGTCTCAAAAAAAAATTTTTAAAGTTGAAAAAGAAAAACAATGCATCAAACCAAACACACAAGATAGGCACATTCTACTGTATGTAAATTACACATCAACAAAATGCATTTATCAAAAATCAGTGTTCCTGGGATTTTATTAGATAGCATTAGGTACAAAATTGAGGTCAGTAGAGCTCAGTTTTACTGGTAGAAATCAAAGGAAGTTAAAGGATTTTATGTTTTAGAGGAGAATTAAGGGACATATTGCCTTTTCCTGCTACAGAACCAAGAATTTTCAAACTGGGTTCCTAGGGAACCCCAGGGGTTCCATGTCTAGCCTGCTTTCTGCTTTCTCCTCAATCTGTAATCACAGCTGCCCACTTCTTTTGTGTCCCTCAAAAGGTTTTACCCAAAGAGTTCTGAGACCAAAGGATTTGAAAATCAGAGCTCTCAAAAATGATTTTTCTTTTTCTTTTTTTTTGAGACGGGATCTTGCTTTGTTGTCCAGGCTGGAGTGCAGTGATGCTTACTGCAGTCTCAGCCGTTCTGGGCTCAAGTGATCCTCACACCCCAGCCTCCTCAGTAGCTGGGACTACCAGCATGGACCACCACACCCAGCTAATTTTTTTCCTCAATATTTATTTATTTATTTATTTATTTAGACCGAGACTCACTCTGTCACCCAGGCTGGAGTGCAGTGTTACAATCTCAGCTCACTGAAACCTCCACCTCCTGGGTTCAAGCAATTTTCCTGCCTCAGTCTCCCGAGTAGCTGGGATTACAGGTGCCCGCCACCACACCCATCTAATTTTTGTATTTTTAGTAGAGACGAGGTTTCACTGTGTTGGCCAGGCCGGTCTTGAACTTCTGACCTCAGGTGATCTGCCCACCTTGGCCTCCCAAACTGCTAGGATTACAGGCGTGAACCACTGAGCCTGGCTTTTCCCCTTTTATCTTTGTAGAGACGGGGTCTTGTTATGTTGTCCAGGCTGGTCTCGAGCTCCTGGCCTCAAGCGATCCTCCTGTCTCAGCCTCCCAAAGCACAAGGATGACAGGCGTGAGCCACTGCACCTGGCAATAACATGGTTTCTGTCTCTTTCCAAGCTACCCTTTGTCCAGGGTGTGTCAAAGAGTAGCTCAAGAAGAGATAGAGGTCATGTCTTCAAAGAGGCAGGATGAGCTGGGACTTGAGCATGCAGAAATATCGGGACAAAAATGGACTTGAAAGTTCCTGCTAGGACCAGAAGAGACAGGCAGCCTGTGGAATTCACTTTTCCCCCCCAGATTCCCCGTCCCACAAATTTGCTTTCAGTTCCTCTAAATGCACACACTCCATTCTGCCTCGGGGCCTTGGAACACACAGTCCTCTCCCTCCACCCAGAAGGCCCTCCCTAACTGCCTCTCCTGTTTAACCCTTATGCATCCTCCACCCTCCCCTCAGACATCTTTTCCTCCCCCCAAAATACTTTCTGGATTCCCCTATGTGGGGCTGATTGTTAGGTCAGAGGTTCTCATGGAAATGGGTTCCTCTCCTTGGGAGATGGAGTGGTCCTTGAGGCTGATGGCTGATTGAGCATTCTATTGGTGTTTGTTCTTGTTTTTTTGTTTTTTGTTTTTTTTTAGAGATGGGGTCTTGCTCTGTTGTCCAGGCTGGAATGCAGTGGTGCAATCATAGCTCACTGCAGCCTCCAATTCCTGGACTCAAGCGGTCCTTCTGCCTCAGCCTCCTGAGTAGCTGGTACTACAGAAAGGCACCACCATGCCTGCCTAATGTTTTCTTATGTTTTGTACAGAAGGGGGTCTCACTGTGTTGGCCAGGCTGGTCTTGAATTCCTGGGCTCAACCAATCCACCCACCTCGGTCTTCTAAAGCACTGGGATTACAGGTGTGAGCCACAGCGCCTGGACTTTTTTTTTTTTTTTTTTTTGAGACGGAGTCTCGCTCTGTCACCCAGGCTGGAGTGCAGTGGCCGGATCTTAGCTTACTGCAAGCTCCGCCTCCCGGGTTCACGCCATTCTCCGGCCTCAGCCTCCCGAGTAGCTGGGACTACAGGCGCCCGCCACCTCGCCCGGCTAGTTTTTTGTATTTCTTAATAGAGACGGGGTTTCACCGTGTTAGCCAGGATGGTTTCGATCTCCTGACCTCGTAATCCGCCCGTCTCGGCCTCCCAAAGTGCTGGGATTACAGGCTTGAGCCACCGCGCCCGGCCTTTTTTTTTTTTTTTTGAGATGGAGTTTTGCTTTTGTTGCCCAGGCTGGAAAGCAATGGCGTGACCTTGGCTCACCACAATCTCTGCCTCCTGGGTTCAAGCAATTCTCCTGCCTCAGCATCCCGAGTAACTGGGATTACAGCTACCCACCTGGTGCGCCACCACGCCTGGCTGATTTTGTATTTTTAGTAGAGAAGGGGCCTCTCCATGTTGGTCAGGCTGGTCTTGAACTCCCGACCTCAGGTGATCCGCCAGCCTCAGCCTCCCAAAGGGCTGGGATTACAAGCATGAGCCACCGTGCCCGGCCTAGCACCCGGCCTTTTTATTGCTGTTCTGTTGGTATCTGCCTTCCCCTGACTGTCAAGGCCCAACTCATCCCGGGGAAGGGCAGCATCCCTCTGCTTCCTACTGTATGCACGGTGTTTAACACAGTATGTGGAACATAGTAGTTGCTCAATAAATATTGCCTGCACTTTGAACCTGTGTGCACCCTTGTATTTATACAGGGATTTAATATACGTGCATCATGTTGACTGATACATAAATACATAGAGAAAATTGTGCAAATGAGAGTTACAGCTCAAAATTTTTACAGAACTCCCCCCTCACCAGGGGCCTTCCTGGTACTCTTTTATCACCACTGTCTCTGATTCTCCAGACACTTCCACCCTCATTTCCAACAGCATAAGTTAGTTTTGTTTGTATTTCATTTATTATTATTGTTATTGTTATTATTATTATTTTGAGACGGAGTCTCGCTCTGTCGCCCAGGCTGGAGTGCAGTGGCGCGATCTCGGCTCACGGCAAGCTCTGCCTCCCGGGTTCACACCTTTCTCCTGAAGGAGCTGGGACTACAGGCGCCCACCACCACGCCCAGCTAATTTTTTTTGTATTTTTTTTTTTAGTAGAGACAGGGTTTCACGGTGTTAGCCAGGATGGTCCCGATCTCCTTACCTCGTGATCTGCCCGTCTAGGCCTCCCAAAGTGCTGGGATTACAGGCATGAGCCACCGCGCCTGGCCCAGATTTTGTCTTTAAAAAAAAAAAAAAAAAAACTTTTTTTCCCTATGGTTTAAAAATGTGAAAATTGGCAGTGCCTCAAAAAGTTAAACATAGAATTGCCATATGATCAGGCAGTACTACTCCTGGGCATATGCCCAGAAGAATTGAAAGCAGGAACTGCAAACACATATTTGCACATCTATGTTCATAGCAGCATTATTCACAATAGCCAAAAGGCAGAAGCAGGCCAGGCACACTGGCTCATGCCTGTAATCCCAGGACTTTGGGAGGCCGAGGCGGGCAGATCACCTGAGGTCAGGAGTTTGAGACCAGCCTGGCCAACATGGCGAAACCCCATCTCTACTGGAAAAAAAAAAAAAAAAATTACCCAGGTGTGGTGGTGGGTGCCTGTAATCCCGGCTACTCGGGAGGCTGAGGCAGGAGAATTGCTTGAACCTGGGAGTCGGAGGTTGCAGGGAGCCAAGATCGTGCCACTTGTACTTCAGCCTGGGTGATGAGAGCACAACTCCGTCTCCAAAAAACAAAAAACAAAACAAAACCCCAAAACCTTTTTGATCCGCTGTCTGCAGTGGAGCCGCCACCAAAATGCAGATTTTTCCTGAGAACCCTTACAGGGAAGACCATCACCCTCGAGGCTGAACCCTCGGATATGGTAGAAGATGGAAGGGCCAAGATCCGGGGTAAGGAAGGAATTCCTCCTAATCAGCAAAGACTGATCTTTACTGGTAAACAACTGGAAGATGGATGTACTTTGTCTGACTACAACATTCAAAAGGAGTCTCCTCTTGTGTTGAGAATTCGTGGTGGTGCTGAGGAAAGGAAGAAGTCTTTTTTTTTTTTTTTTTTACTGAGTCTCACTCTGTAGCTCAGGCTGGAGTGTAGTGGTGCCATCTTGGCTCACTGCAACCTCTGCCTCCCAGGTCCCAGTTCAAGAAATTCTCCTGCCTCAGCCTCCCGAGTAGCTGGGATTACAGGCACGCGCCACCATGCCCAGCTAATTTTTGTATTTTTAGTAGAGATGGGGTTTCACTGTGTTGGCCAGGCTGGTCTCGAACTCCTGACCTCGTGATCCACCTGCTTCGGCCTCCCAAAGAGCTGGGATTACAGGCATGAGCCACTGCGCCCGGCCAGAAGAAGAAGTCTTACATGCAAGAAGAATAAGCACAAGAGAAAGAAGGTGAAGCTGGCTGTCCTGAAATATTATAAGGTGGATGAGAATGACAAAATTAGTGGCCTTTTCCAGGGTGCCCTTTGTCCAGGGTGCCCTTCTAATGAATGTGGTGCTGGAGTGTTTATGGCAAGCCACTTTGACAGACATGATTGTGGCAAATGTTGTCTGACTTACTGCTTCAACAAACCAGAAGACAAGTAACTGTATGAATTAACAAAAGATATGAACAAAAGCAAACAAATGAAAAACGAAACAAAAGCCAGAAAGCAACCCGTGTCCGTCGATGGGTGAATGGATAAACACAACGTGGTTCATCCACACAAGGGAATATGATGCAGCCATGAAAAAGAAAACAGTTCTGACTCAGGCTACAGCATGGATGAACCTTGGGGATATTATGCTCAGTGAAATAAGCAGATACAAAAGGACAAACACTATGTGATTCCAGTCCTAGGAGGTCCCTAGAGTCGTCAGATCCATAGAGACAGAAAGTAGGACGGAGGGAGCCAGGGGCTGGGGAAGGGGATAGGGAGTGAGTGTTTCATGGGGATGGAGTTTCAATTTGGAAAGAGGAGAAAGTTCTGGAGATGGATGGCGGTGGTGGCTACCCAACAACATGAATGTGCTTATTGCCACAGAATTGTGCACTGAAAAATGGTTAAAATAGGCCGGGCATGGTGGCTCACACTTGTAATCCTGGCACTTTGGGAGGCTGAGGTGGGCAGATCACTTGAGGTCGGGAGTTTGAGACCAGCCTGGCCAACATGGTGAAATCCCATCTCTACTAAAAATACAAAAAATTAGCTGGGTGTGGTGGTGCACGCCTGTAATTCCAGCTACTTGGGAGGCTGAGGCAGGAGAATTGTTTGAACCTGGGAGGTGGAGGTTGCAGTGAGCCAAGATCAAGCCACTGTACTCCAGCCTGGACAACAGAGTGAGACTCTGAAACAAAGAAACAAACAAAAGCAATGGTTAAAATGGAACAAGATGGTGCATACCTGTAGCCTTAGCTACTGGGGAGTCCAAGGTGGGAGGATTACTTGAAGCCAGGAGTCTGAGACTAGCTTGGGCAACAAAGCAAGACCCTGTTTCAAAAATAAAAAAAGGCCGGGCATGGCGGCTCAAGCCTGTAATCCTAGCACTTTGGGAGGCTGAGGCAGACGGATCACAAGGTCAGGAGATCGAGACCATCCTGGCTAACACGGTGAAACCCCATCTCTACTAAAAAAAAAAAAAAAATACAAAAAATTAGCTGGGCGTGGTGGTGGGCGCCTGTAGTCTCAGCTACTCGGGAGGCTGAGGCAGGAGAATAGCATGAACCCGGGAGGCAGAGCTTGCAGTGAGCCGAGATCGCACCATTGCACTCCAGCCTGGGCGACAGAGCAAGACTCTGACTCAAAAAAAAAAAAAAAGTTATAACGATAAATTGTATGTTATGTGTATTTTACCACAAAAAAATCCCATTGTATTGGAGACAGAGAACAAACAAAAATGTAATAACCGTTCCTAGCTCATGGGTGGTTCAAGAAGAAACATAAGCTGGACCTGGGCCCATGGGCAATGGCTTTCCAACTTCTGTTGTAGGTGATGCCATTGATGGAATAAACCATGATTTTTTTTTTTTTTTTTTTGAGATGGAGTCTCGCTCTGTCACCCAGGCTGGAGTGCAGTGGCACAATCTTGGCTCACTGCAAGCTCTGCCTCCCGGGTTCACGCCATTCTCCTGCCTCAGCCTCCTGAGTAGCTGGGACTACAGGCGCCCGCCACCACCCCTGCCTAATTTTTTGTATTTTTAGTAGAGACAGGGCTTCACCCTGTTAGCCAGGATAGTCTTGATCTCCTGACCTTGTGATCCGCCCGCCTCGGCCTCCCAAAGTGCTGAGATTACAGGCGTGAGCCACCTCGCCCGGCCAAACCATGATTTTTCTTTCTTTGTTTTTGAGATGGAGTCTTGCTATGTTGCCCAAGCTAGTCATCCAGGATGGAGCACAGGCGTGTGATCTCAGCTCGCTGCAACCTCTGCCTCCCGGTTCAAGTGATTCTCCTCCCTCAGCCTCCCAAGTAGCTGGGATTACAGGCACACACCACCACGCCCAGTTAATTTTTGTATGTCTAATGGAGACAGGATTCCATCATGTTGGCCAGGTTGGTCTCAAATTCCTGACCTCAAATGATCCGCCTGCCTCGGCCTCCCAAAGTGCTGGGATTACAGACATGAGCCACCAGCCATAAACCATGATTTTATTTACCAGTTCTACTGCTAATAGGCATTTGGGTATGAATGTGGTATGTCATTCTCACCCAGGGACATAATTATTATTCCTATTTTAGAGAAGTGATCTTGTTCTGTTGCCCAGGCTGGAGTGCAGTGGTGTGATCATAGCTCACTGTAGCTTCGAACTCCCGGGCTCAAGCGATTCTCTCACCTCAGCCTCCTGAGTAGCTGGGAATACAAGTGCTTGTCCCCACCATGCCCAGCAAGAGACATTATTTTTGTCATGCTTGCATCAGCCACCTTGCATGCCAAGCTCTGCTTCTCTAGCTGTTCCTCAGACCACAGCCCCTGGCATTATCCCTGGGGCACCACCTCCTGACCAGTCTCTGGACATGAAGCGGGAGGCCCTATTGGAAGCGGGGAGGCTCCCTCCCTCCTCCAGCCCTTATGGTCTGCTCAGGGGCTTCCTCTTGGTCCCGGATGTGGGACCAGAGGGTTGGGGGCCCCGGGACTTATTAGCCAAGACAGGAAGCCCCACCCCCAGAGGCCTCAAAGAAAGAGCTGCGGTGCAAGAATTCGTGTGCCAGATTTGGTTAGCTGAGTCCACCCAGAGGGTAAGTGACAGCTGCTCCTGCCCTTGCCATGGCACCAGCGGGGAGGCTGGGGTCAAAGCTGAGCCTCCATCCCTGACCCCACGGTAGGGGACAGGGGTCTGGGGACAGGGGTCCAGATCCCACACCCTCCAGGGGCCGGATCCTCCCCACGTGGGCAGGGCTGACCCAGCTGTGGGTCTCTTGGTTCCCTCTTTCAGCGCCTGCAGGATGAAAGCCCTCTGTCTCCTCCTCCTGCCTGTCCTGGGGCTGCTGGTGTCTAGCCAGACCCTGTGCTCCATGGAAGAAGCCGTCAATGAGAAGATTCAGGAGGGCGCCAGCTCCTTAGGTGAGGACCCCCCAGAGGCAAGCTCCCCAAGGGTCTCAGAGACCTCACCGATCCCTGGCACAGACCTGACTCCAACCCAGCCCCAGCGCTCACCAAATCTCATCCTCACATCCAACCAGATCACAAATTCAACCCCAACTCCACTCCTAACCCCTCCGACTGTTCTCACCCTATCCACAGCTCCAAACCCAATCTCCGCTCTCACCCCAAACCTTCCCTTACTCCAAAACACCCAGCTCAAGACAGGGTCCTGGAAGCCAGTGAGCTCCTATGCCGGTATCTAGCTCCAGACCAACAGGAGGAATGTAGCGGGAGGATGGGGCAGGGGCCGTTTGGCCTCACAGCCCCTCCTCTCTCCTTCCCTGCTGCCCCCCAGTATTTAGGGCAATAAGGAGCATTGGCCTGGAGTGCCAGAGCGTCACCTCCAGGGGTGACCTGGCTACTTGCCCCCGAGGTGAGTGCAGAAGCCTGTTGTCCAGGTGCCCATCTCTTTTCCAAGTCCCCTGGGAATGCCACCTCCCCACCACGTTCCCCATGTCTAGCCTCTACCCCGCTAGGATCCTCGTCCTGACTCCCAGCCTTCTCTGCCCACCATCTGGACACTGGTGTCCACCCCCACTCCCTGCCTCCAGTGCCCATTCCGTGGTTGGAGCCTCCAGCCGTCCCCGTCCCCACCCGCCCCGCCCCCATCCCACCCTCAGCCTCCCAGCTCAGAGTCCAAGCTCCTCTGTTCCGGGCTGCAGGCTTCGCCGTCACCAGTTGCACTTGTGGCTCCGCCTGTGGCTCGTGGGATGTGCGCGCCGAGACCACATGTCACTGCCAGTGCGCGGGCATGGACTGGACCGGAGCGCGCTGCTGTCGTCTGCAGCCCTGAGGTCGCGCGCAGCGCGTGCACAGCGCTGGCGGAGGCGGCTCCAGGTGCGGACGGGTTGTGGGGGAGCTGGAAATAAACCTGGAGATGATGATGATGATGGAGCGGATCTGAGCCCTGCGTGGTTTCTTTAGTAGTCCGGAGGGACTGATCTAGTGTCTCCGTCTCCAAGAAGAGTGGGGCGCGCAGCTGCTGGAGGGGACGGGGAGACCGCGACTTTCTACTGCCCCATTCCCCTTCCTCGTATGGGGTCTCCAACTGCTTCCTCCGAAAATAGGGCCTGAGCTTCTTCTAGTGACGTCCCCACCCACCCAAGGCTCATGGCCGCCTTCAAGAGGGGACTTCTCACCTTTGAGGCTACCTTGACGCTCACTCTGGGGTCTCCGACCTCACCAGGAAGTGGCTGGGTCATTTTCCCCCTGTCCTCATAATGAGGCTTCATCTAGGACCTGGGTCCGTCTGGGCAGTGGACGGGACCCTCCAGGGCCCCAAGACTCCAGGAGCCCCAGGTCAGGGTAGGCCCCTGAATCGTGTCTCAGCCCAGAGCTGGAACATATACCCCTCACTTCCTACCTGCAAGGAGGAACCCCCAAGGCACAGGCAAAGTTGAGTTACCTGATGTCACGTGTCATCACAAGTTCACGTTTTCACACAGGCAAGTGCGGTTGTGAGTAGTTAGTTACAACCAGAGACACACAGGGTGCTTACCCCCTCCTGCACACTAGATTATGAAAACACGGAGCAGGGGACTTGTCTGCTCCTAGATCTCCCCAGGGTTTCCTTTCTTCCCCTCCCCTCCCCTCCCCTCCTCCTCCTCCTCATCCTCCTCCTCCTCCTCTCCCTCCCCTCCCCTCCCCTCCCTTCCCCTCCCCTTCTCTTCCCTTTCCTTTCCTTCTTTTTGAGACAGGGTCTCGCTCTGTCACCCAGGCTGGATTGCAGTGGTGCGATCTCGGCTCACCACAACCTCTGCCTCCTGAGTTCAAGCAATTCTCCTGCCTCAGCCTCCCAAATAGCTGGGACTACAGGTGCTCGCCACCATGCCTGGCTAATTTTTGTATTTTTTGTAGAGAAGGAGTTTTACCATGCTGGCTAGGTTGGTCTTGAACTCCTGGCCTCAAGTAATTCACCTGCCTCAGCCTCCCAAAGTGCTGGGATTACAGGCATGAGCCACTGCGCCCGGCCTATTTTTTAATTTTTATTTTTGAG